TATCTCGGACCACTTTCCAAATCTTTTCCCAATGGATCCAATGATGCTAACAATCCACAATCTACATATCCGAGCTTACATAAATCATTAACACGTCGCAATAAGACCACATAAGTCAGCCAAGTGACTAGCACTTAAATTAAGAAGGTCTGGGAGCAATCTTTATTATACAATTTGAAAGTCAACTCTCTGAGTTTTAACTCCAATTCATCCACTAAACGTGTTGTGGAATCTAGTCGCTTCACTAGATACCCAAACCTATCGCTATTCAACATCTTTACCAACAAACGTCCAATTCCAAGAACAAGTAGAGGGAAACTATCCATTGTGTAATGCATATGTGCTATACTACTGAATAAGAATTTGAAATCGGTCATCATTCATCTTAAGACATCCCGTCAACAATTTGACTCCTCCTTGAATAGTTAGTTCTATAGAGTTCCTTCAACGTGAAATTCCTGATAGCTATTTATGTGAACATATTTTCTCCTGAGTGTGATCTTCTACCTTTTTTTGTAGCTTCCCCTCTCTTGTCCTCTTGTTGTTATGCATTATTTGTCATTGGGTGGAATTGGAAGAAGACCATCGAGACAAGGCTTGTTCTACTTAATCTTTAACATAAAGTGGATGAATCTGTGTGAAAGCACGCGAGGGGAGGAGGAGGGGAAGGGGTAAATTTTTGATGATCGAAACTTAGTTGAGTTAAGCTGAATGCAGTTTCTGCTTAGATAGAAAAAAGATAGCCATGTATCACCTATAATTTAGAAAGAGAATGTGAATAAATTAAGGACAAAACATAAAATGACATCAAATGTTTTTATACTAGTTTGCGCACCAATGTGGTGCCTTTAATCTCTTTGCAAATGTTTTCAACGTAGTACAATCACTAGTGTTTTTACGCATTCACCACATAATGTTTATCAACTAGCTTTTCTCACACACTTAACAACCAATTACAGATTCTAGTGTGCTTGATGTCTTCACATTACTTCAAATTTATAGGGAGCTTGATTTGTAGCCACTGAACCTTCTCTTGATACTTGTTGTGTCTTTGACTGTTGTTGATCATTACCAAGTAACTAATGGCTCCTTTCTTGAATTCAATTAGAGATGTTGTTGTGTAATCCAAGGGACTCTTAAATGTTAGCTGGCCTTTCTGAAATAGAGACTTCTTTTAATTGTTGATTTGTGGGCTTTCTTCCTTGTGGGCTTCAAAATTTGATCTCTGAGTTATTCTTCTTGTGTTGGCTTTGTATGCTTTTGTCTTCATATGATCTTTGGGCTTCGTGTTTTGTTCAACCATGGATTGAACCAAGCTTTGTCCGGGCAATCTTTCAATGGGATGTTTTTATTCATCTTTATCAACTATTCTGTCTTTTTCTGCTTCAATCAAGATGTACTAGGGCTTTACCTGCCTCACATTCTCCCTTTTCTTTCTTAAATTTTTTGTTTCTAAGAAATGAAGGGTGTCTTCAGTATGAAGGGAAATGTTTTCTTGGAAAATAAGAGAGTTTTTACTTATTATCTTGTGTTCGGTATGTAAGCAAAAAATATAATCCTAAAATCATTTGCATTTAATCTAGACAAATACTCTGCTATGGGAGGTGGGAATGGGGTAGGGGTGTGGGGTGGTGGGGATAGAGACTACGGGGGATCGAGGTGACGATGAGGTATGTTGTGGAGGGTTGGGATGACACAATTAATATGAAATGCCACTAGTGGAATTTGTTTTCCCTCCGTCCACTAGGGAAGTCATTTGCCTCATTTTTAAGCAACTTGTTTCCTAGATAATGTTCTCCAAAAAATTTGACCCACTGAGCATGAGAAAATTTGAAAAATTTTCCTCCATACCAAACACCCGAAGTGTGTTCGTTTTCTTATACCCTTCACCCTCAGGCCTGTTATCTGTAGAAATGAAGCGTGTATCAGATGTTTCTAGATATGAGATTTTCTTTAAGCTGAGAAGTGAGTATCATGGCACATGTCTATGTGACAGGTTAGGTTCCATTGTTCATCATTTCAGCACAGTAGCTTTGACAGAGTTTTATTGTTAAGATCTTGTTTGGCATCTTTGAGGAACACCTTTTTCCAGGAAAAAATTGTTAAAAGATATGTTCATCTCGTACGAGATTCGGACTATGTTGTAGATATGCTAGAACATTTTCCAGAGATGTTAAAAAATTGTTGAAAGGTATGCCCTTCTCATATGAGAGTCAGACTATGTTGTCGCAAGCTGGAAGATTTTTCAGAGATGTTGTGCAACGGCATTACTTTGATATGCATGGGTTGGGTAGTTGGATGAGAACACAATTTCCAGTATGAGAAGACAGTTGTTTGATTTGGTGACTTTTAGCATAAAGCAACAGGGCTATACCATTTTACGGGTGCTTGATGTGCTAAGGGGTTGTTTGGTTCACGGTGTAGTTATGCAAGGATTGTAATGTAGGGGCTGTTATGTGGTAAATAATAATGTAAGGATTGTGGTGAATGATTTATGCATGAATTTTCATAAATATTATTACTATAGGCACTGCTTTATACCTGATTTTGATTTTCTACTGAAACTGCTGTTTGAATGCAGCTAAAAATCTGTGTTCTAACATATCTGGATCTTCAGGGATATAAGTTTAGCAGGAGATTTAAGCCTTTTGATGCTCGTTTGTGTTTCAGAAAGACTTCCTAGATTACTTGCAACACTTTTGAGACTTCTTTATTTCTTTTCCACCTGAACCAAGGACATTTTGAGGAACTCAAAAAAAGAGATTGGAGAAGATATTTCAGGAGAGGTAGAGGTAGACCTAAGAAGTATTGGGAAGAGGTGATTAGGCAGGACATGATACATTTTCGCTTATGAACGACATGACCTTAGATGGAGAATGTCGAACGGATTAGAGTAGAAGGGAAGTAGGTAGCAGTACATTTTCTTGCTGGCCGTTCATATCAGTAGTAGTAGTATTGCTCCTGTTGTTTCTTGTCCTTCGGTTTCTATTACTATCTGTTGATTTTTTGTACCCTAACTATTGTATTCTTTTGTTGTACTTTCTGTTTGTTTAGTTACTGTATATGTTGTTTTTTGTATCATTGGTTGTGAGCCGAGTCTATCTGAAACAACCTCTCTACCTCTAAGTGGGGGTATGGTCTGTGTGGACTCTACCCTCCCCAGGTTCACTTTGTGGGACTTCACCGGCTATGTTGTTTTTATTTCTTTTTAAATATGACTCTCTTTCTGTTCCTTTGCAGTTTCTGCCTAAAAAAGGAGGTACTCCCAAGAAGAATGATATCGTATTTACTGCACCAACAGGAGAGGAGATCACCACAAGAAAACAGTTGGAACAGTACCTGAAGTCACACCCTGGTGGTCCACCAGTAGCGGAGTTTGATTGGGGAACTGGTGAAACCCCAAGAAGATCGGCGAGGATCACTGGAAAGGCAAAGGCAACTCAATCTCCTACAGAAAGTGAACCTGCTAAGAAACGAGGCAGAAAGTCTTCAGCTTCGAAGAAGGATTCCAAAGACAAAGAAGTCACTAAAGAAACTGAAGCAGCAAAGGATGATGACATGGAGGAAGCTGAAAAGCACGAGAAGGACACTGCAGCAATGGAATCTGAGGAAGATGTTGAAAAAAAAGAAAATGAGAACCCAAATGAAACTCAAGATGGAGAAAGCGAAGTGGAGAAGAAAGATGAAATCCAATCTTCTGAGAAGGATGTTGTGAAGGAGAACTTAGATGAAGGCCAAAATGTTCATGACAAAGTAGAAGATGCTCAAGTTGAGAAAGACGTTCAGATGGCTGATAATGTTGGACCTTCTCAAGATGTTGAAGAGGCTCCTGTTGTTAAAGCAGCTGATGGTCCTGACGCTACTAAAATTAACGAGGAGGAAAAGGATGTACAGGTTCAAGAAGTAGAAAAGGTACCTACTGAAGAAGCTCACATCGAGAAAGATGTTAAGATGGCTGATAATGATGTTGAAGAGGAGACCCCTGCTGATAAAACAGCTGTTGGTCCTGAAGCTACTAATATTAACGAGGAGGGAAAGGATGTACAGGTTCAAGAAGTGGAAATATTACCTACCGAGGAAGCTCAGGTTGAGAAAGATGTCAAAATGACTGATAACATTGGACATCCAGACGTTGTTGAAGAAACCCCTGCTGATGTTCCTGAAGCTACTAAACTAAATGAGGAGGAAAAGGATGTACAGATTCAAGAATCAGAAAACAAACCTAATGAAGAAGCTCAGGTTGAAAAAGATGTCAACAATGTTGAAGAGGCTCTTGCTGAAAAAGCAGCGGAGGAAAAGGATGTACAGGTTCAAGAAGCAGAAAAAGTAGATCCTAGCGCTGCTGAGGAGTTGAAGCATCAAGCAGAAGGAAAGAGTACTGATGATCAAGATAATTTGATGAACATTGAAATAAGTAAGGTGGAGGGAGAAGTAACTGAGAATGGCAGCAATGCCAACGAGGCCAAGCCTTGAGCAGTGGTTCTCTCTAACTCTAACATTTTGCTCTTTTTGCTTCATTTGGATGACTGTAGTGTTGTCAATTATAGATACTCTGATTGTTCATGAGAGACATCTGTATGCAAAACCATAGATTTAGGTCCTAAATATTGCTCTGTAAGGATTTTATCGCCTGTACCAGTACTACTGTATGCCATAGATTTAGACTTTCAGCAGAGACACTAGTGCTGAGGTAATTTGTAGTTGTCCAGATCTGCAAAACTATTGTTAGTACTCAGTATGTAAGCTTATAAAAAGCCTGTGTTTTCTTGACTAATGCGGGAATCGGCTGAGTTAAGTTGCTGCAGTTTGTTTCAATGTGATTGTGTTCTTACCTTTCATTGCTAGTAAAGTTGTTGCTAAGTGATCAAGATGTCATGTGTTCTTGCTATGGAAAAAGCATCTCGTAGAAAATGTAGGGTAAGACTGCTTACAATAGATCCTTCTAACTCGTAAACTTCACATTTTGGCTCCGCTTCAAGCCCAGTACACACAAAAGAAGATAACAGAAATCCAGTCATTTTGCTCAGAGATTTAGCTTCATAACTGTTGTTCAAATTACATTGTATAACTCAAATGATTCATTTGACATAGGAAAAAAAGACAATGTAAAAGAATTATTACTTTGTGGTTACACAAACAGTAAAAGAAAGTTAAAAGGTAAAAACATGTTGATATAGACCAAATTCTCATATAATATACTAATTTCTTTTTTCGCTTCAAAGCCCTTTTAGCTCTTCAATCAACCCTGTTAATGTTGTCCATTTCTCAAATGCACTAGCTGATGCCACAAAAGCTGTTTTTGATCCTTCAATGTCATTCTTAGTAACTGCATAACACACATTAAACAGAGACGATTAGTTAATTTTGCTTTTGACAAGCCGAGTTAAGTGAAGACTCGCCCACTATGTGCTTTGACAAGGGTCTATTGTACACAATCTTACTCTCTATTTTTGCAAGAGGCTGTTACCATATCTCGAACCTGGTCAAATGGCTGCAACTTTAGCAGCCACCTCTCTATCAAACCTATGGAATTTGGTATCTGTGCTTTTCTTTGAAAGGCTATGTTAGTTGAACTCTGCAAAAATGTGGACAGGTGCATGTCGGATCCTCTAAAGTGATGCATTTTTGGAGGATCCGATGCAGGTGTAGCAACATCTTTGTAGAGTCCAAGCAACATAGATGAAAGTTGAGTTTCTTTTTACATCAAATCGCATACCTTTGGGCATTATCTTGAACCTAGCTCGAAATTCTTGTTTACTTTTATCTTTAGAAAGTCCTAGTTTGTGATCTAGGGAGGCTAAACATGAGACAAGTTGGCAACCATAGTCATCTTTTGAGTGTCAAGGAAAACATTACCTGATGAAACAAGAGAAGATAGCGAAGAATTGAAGGAATCGATCTCTGACTTCTCCTCATCGCTACCACTAAACTGTAACAACGCGAAATATTCAGTAGACATAGACCAATGTGAAAGAAAAAATGTGCTTGAAAGGATTAAAAAAAAAACTACCTTGTTGAGTGCTGAATTAACTTTCTGCAACCAATCTGCATCAGTGTTTTGGCCAAGAACTGAACTTGCTGCAGATAAATCATTTTTCTCTATAGCTTGGCCTACTTTACTGAGCTTGTATACCAAATCTTGCAAGTATCCTTCACCATTGAATTTAACAATATGAAAGTTATTAAACATGATATCATGTAACTAAATTTTCATAATAAGTGGAATTAGTAGACAAGTAACTTGCAACAACAGGAGAAATTGTGGTGATGGTGTAAATTGTTTTTATGCTATTTAGTGTATATAAGTTAAATCTAATCAAAAAGCGGAACTGACCAATAAGGGTGGTTTGTCAATATTTAGTATCATGATAGCTAATACAAGAATAATGTGCTAATTATTTTGCCATACACATTCGTGTGATTGTGTCAGGTTACGAGTTTGAACTGTGGAAGCAGTTACTAATGATTGTATTAGGATAGACTGTCTACAACACATTCCTCAGGGTGTGAGTCTTCCCCGGAGATAACAGTTAGGAAAGAAGGGGTTCATCTCTTTTTTTTATTATATATAATAGTAAATGATGAATCCTTTATTGAAAATCATGCCTCCGACACTTTGACAGTACCAAATACTGTTCTTAATTCACTAAATTGTGTGGTAAGAGGTACTTCACTGAAATTACAACATAATGATTCATAAGATGAAACAAAGGCAACTCATAACTTATTAGGTTTGTAGTGAAGCGATAAGTACGCCTTCATCCTTAACCAGAGGGTCTCGATTCGAGCCTGGAAGGTATTTACCATACATATAGTTGATCTTTTCTTGATTTCACAACTAGAGAAATTTATTTAAAAAACAATAAAATAATTTTATTTTATTTTTACCTTTTTCCTTTGAGGAGGAATTGACAATGCCTTGTCTTTCAAGCCTTTTTTTTCTATCCTTTTTAACTTTTTCCATCAACTCATCATCCTCATCAGCTTCTAAAATTGCAGCATTTGCATTAAAAGTTCCATTTCCAGTTAAAGAAAGCAACAAACTTGATGCAAGGCTAATTGATAGACTTCTCTTGCTAATAATTGAACTAAAATTACATACATTATTCTCTGCTTTGCACAAAATTATTTGTTTTCTAGTGGAAAATGAAGATGATGGAAGAAAAGATTTAGGATTTGAGAGACACACAGTTGCCATTTTTTTTTCTTTTTATTTTTTATCTGTTTATTTTTTCTTGTTAATATGGTGGCATTGTGACAAGTTGGACTATAGAGGATAAGATTACAAGATTTCCCTCATATCATAACCATTCTCATGTCACTAAAATGTTGAGGGTATTTTGGTCATTTCAGCAAAGATAAAAACTTGAAGTATAGTAGGTGATGCATTGGGTTAGACCGTGTAATAATAATAACATATTCAGTATAATTATATAAATGGAGTCTAAAAAGAATAGGATGTACGCAAATCTTACCCCTAAGGATCCTAAGGGGCAAAGAGGTCGTTTATAATAGAGCTTCGGCTCAATAGAAATGTATCCAACATGGGAATTGTAAGATATACAGGGCCGTCTTAACCACTAGGCCACTAAAGTCATCGCTTAGGACCACATATTTTTTTTTTGGGAACCCAATTTTTTAAAGAATACTTATACCTATAACTTAAAATTATATGTATTTTTTTAAAAAAAAATAACACGTAAGAAGTACTCTCTCTGTTCCTATTTAGTTGTCCACTTTAGAAGTGACACACATATTAAGGCACCAATTATTATCATATGTTAGATACAATTTTACCATTAACTTAAAAAGATTATGTAACTTTCCAAATATAATAAATGTATTTTCTGGTTCCAAAAAGCATACATTACAACTTAGTAGTACTAGAAATTTTCTAGAATTAAATGAGGGCATATTAGGAAAAAATTTATTGTCTTTTCTTGATTTATTAAAATGGACAAGTAATAGGGACAAATATAAAAAGAAATATGAACAAGTAAATAGGGACAGAAGGAGTTTAAAAAAACAAAATAACCATTAGTTATCCCCACTTATCTAAGGGAATGAAACATTTTTTGAAAATAATTTCGTTAAGTGAAAAATTGTGTTTCCTCATTTATCTCCTAAAAACTCTATTATCTTTTCATGTTGAATTGTGCAATTTTCATTATTCAATTACATATTGTGAGCTTTCATTTTGTAAGTTGATTCTTAAATAGTATTTCCTCCGTTTAAAAAACAATGTCTCTATTTTTCTTTTTAGTTTGTTTCAAAAAAAATATCCCCTTTTCTTTTTGAGCAATACTTTAACTTTAATTTTTCATGTGACATGCTTAAGACCACAAAATTAAAAGGCGTTTTGATACATTTGATATAACTTTAATTTAGAACTACAAGATTAAAAAGTCTTCTTCATTTTCTTAAACTCCGTTCCAAGTCAAACTAGATCACCTTTTTTTAAACGAAGAGAGTATTAATAAATGACCCTTCTAATTCTAAAATTGACCTCTACGTTAAAGTAATGAATGACTTTCCATATCATAATTTTTAAAAAATTTCATGATAAAATCTATGGTTACGATTAAAAGCAATATGAATGTACTCATTTATCAAGAAAATGATAATTTAATTATTAAAAGAACTTCAAAGTCTATCATTATGTAATTAAAATATTTATATTTAATCAGATTTTACTTGTAGTAGAGGGACAAAATGGTGATCTTCCTACTTATATTATAACATATGATCATCATCATCTTGTTGGTAATACATTGAAGCATCGTCAACTGGTAATGAAGGTGGAGTTCCAGGAGGGATGCAGGATTCACCATTTTCGCCGGCACATATACACAGAGCCTCTGCATCCCTGAGGATAGCATCTAGGTCAATATGACCACTCAGCTCGTTGATAAATTTCAGTAGTGTGTCGAAATCCATCCCCTCTCCTATTATTTTGCTGCGATGTCTTTTCAGAATCGCGACACACACATACAGATGAAGGTGCTCGCTCCCATAATGCGTCCATAATACCTCCCACAATCGCATCGTTTGTTCAAATTCAAACTCCCTACAACAGACAAGGTATCGATAAATAAACTACTAAACAAATACCTGATAAACATAGTAAGACAAAGGGAACAACAGTAAGTGGCGTTGCACATTGAAAGAAAGAGGAAGGAAGAAATGGGACAAACAACTTGAAAGAGAAGCTAAAGTTCTTTTCTGATTTCCACTTTATCAAATGGAACACTACAAAATTATAAGATTCTTTTTAAAATGGTAGGTACAGATCCAAGCAAAAGGAATATAAAAAAATGATGAAAACAGTGTCTGTAACTAACCTTTTGAAATCTTAAAATGTCACAAGGTCATAGAAAATAGTTATGAGAAATATATGCACAAAACCAGAACTAATAGCAAGTCTATGGAAATCTGAAATGGGCCTTTGAATCTAATTACTCACATCAGCATAATTTAACAGATAATCAATGGTATGAGTTTGTGTTAAAGAAGAAACCAGAGCATACTCGTATATACCAAAGTAAATCATATAGAGGATGGCCAATAAAATATAATTTTTTTAAGGATTACTACTACTTGCCTTTTGAATTGAATAAGAACCCATCGGAAGCAGAAGAAATAATTCAAACAGTCCTTCTGTTTGAAGTAATTATGCAGAGGGATGTCCAACAACTCGACCAACTGCAAAAACATAGTAAGAACACCATTTTTTGTAAGAAAGCAAACATTTATCAGCCCAAAATGTAAAAATATACTACACAAGTGCTCCCTTTATCTCCATTTATGTGGCACAATTCCATTTTTAATTTGTCCCCATTAAGAATGTCTGCAGTTCTCATTGAGATGATTTTATAGCCACACAAAAATCTTAGGTTTGTTTTAGACCACAAGTCTCAAACATCTTTCTTTGTTTCTTAACTTCGGGTCAAGTCAAACGGTGCCTCATAAATTGGGATGGAGAAGTATATAATATAACTGGAAAGAATTGGAAGGAATGGAAACAAGAAAGAACTGGTGATGGCATGGGACTATGCACTCGCTGATCAATCATTTGCTACAAGATCCAGATAAACAGGCAGACATATTTATCATAAATACAATGGATGTGTATCAGCAATAGTTAGGCCTTCTTAGAGCATGTAAAAAGCAATCAAACTAATCCTCCATTTGACAACCAAAACTCGATAGTTTATTTCAATAGAACTCAATTTTGAAAGGCAAGTGCTATTTTACAACTAAGAACAGAGCATACTCAAAGTGGAGGAGTAACACCAAAGAGACGGTCAAAATAAACTAGGAATTATCAGCACTTCATTTTACTCTATGGCTTTCTTAGAGGTGCTTGGGACATAAACACATGCCAACAACTCCTATTTGGGTTTACTCTTCAAAACAATTATTCCAGAGACAAGGAACAAAGTCGGAATAATACAGGTCACTCTCTTCTGTCCCCTTGGAATAGATCTCTGGTTAACTGTTGCGTACAATCTGTCTGGGGTTCACTGGGAGGTAAATGCTAATGCTAGAACCTTAACAGACTAGCAACAAGAGAGCGGAGAGGAGGAAAGAGAAGGGAGGAGAGAGAGAACCTTTGATAATGCAAAAAGCTGAGAGTGCATTCCATTTTGGTCACGGTTAAAGTTTGGTCCAAGTCGTTCCATCAACGCCACAAAGCACCAAAATGTTTCTGATTCATCTCCCATAATAAACAATATTGGTGAAAGGAGATCGCTCATACCCTGCAATTTAATTCGACAGAAACAAATTTTCATTTACCAATCAGTGAGAAACCACGAAAATAAAGGAAAGGTGTTAAGTTGCACAGAGAATATTTGAGCAAAAAGGGCTTCCATAATAAGATAGAGAGTGGTACCATGATCATATCACACCAATGAACTGTTTTTTTGGAAAGATGAAAAATCAAATGATAATGAATAAGATAGGCTTGGTAATATCAGATAGGACATGTAACATAAATTACATCGGATCTGAACGACAGTGTCTTCCAATGATCAATAAAACAGAGATGTCACATATGATCAAATTGTTTGTAATACAGCATGAACATATTGATCAGCGAAGAAGCACACATGTTAAGCTTAAAGGAAGAACTTACCTGACAGTAACCCAAATCAAAGTTGTAGAATGAGTATGTCAGCAGTATATCACGCAAACATTTAATGTTTGGGTTGTCATCCTCTTCATAGAATGAAACTGACCTATCAGTCCTCACCTTACATATCAAACATATTAATAACCAAATAATAGTATCACTGGTTGTGAATTGCAAGGATGTAAACGTGCATCTTGGTTCTCAAACAAAATAACTTATAGGCCCGCGAAATGGACAAATTTGACACATACCACATCTTTTTCAATGAGGCCTCTCCTCTCTCGGAATTTTGTAAATCTTTTTGCCTGCTCCTTAGAGATGCTCTGTTACAGAGACATCGATAAACATTAGAATTAAATTAACACTTTTAACACAATTATCTCAAAGACAATCTTCTTGTCATGGGAGCCTTCTAGACAAAAGGAAAACATAGGGATAGACTTCCCAAATGAAACATTAAAATTACAAGAGCATCAAAATAGAAGTAGGAAAGAAAAGGATCTTATAGCACCTTAACAGATCTAGAATTAAATTATCGCTGTTACAAGTGAAAACATTTTGCTAATTGAAGGAAAACACCTAGAAAGATTGAGTAAATGAAGAATCAGAAACATTTTACTTTTCAACCAACCCTGTCCAAGCTGAGAATATGACAAACCTTCCATTGGTTTTTTATCGTTTCATATTCTGACTTTTTGACGGACACAAGGTATTCCCTCTCTGCATAAGTTGAATCATATGAATGGTATCCCAACAGAAATTGCCACACCTGCCATAAGGACACATAAGTACATTCATGCTCAGAGAAACAGATGAGGAGCAGTGTAGATATTTACAAGAACAAACCTCTTTACGTAGATCTGGTTCCACTCCACCATAAAATATTCTCTTTCTTACTGCTTCTGAGTCTGTGACTCTCCCTTCGGTGTCCAGGAAAGCAGACCACTGCATAAGGAACAAAACATTTGGAACTTAGTCGTGAATGTAATCACAACAATAGGATAACATCAGAAAACATACAATTTGTTAAAATCAATGCAAAAAATTGAAAATATAGATGTCGTTGAAGATAAACCAGATGTGCAGTAATTGACAATGACGAGATAAACCTTGCCTC